AGCCCTGGGGGTGGGGCCGGCACAGCAGGCCTGGGGATTGAACCCCAAGCCCCTGTATCTGCTTGCAGGCACTTTAATCGGCTGAGCTATTTGGCTGGCCCTTAACTCCTTCATTTTTAATGTTCTGCTGACTAATACAATTCTTGCAACTGGTCCTCGTATTGCTTTAAGTGCCTTGGTGTGCCTCTGCTTGTGCCATCTCCCAGCTAAATGCTCTGAGGACAATCATATTTACATTTTTTCACATTTTAGGTGGGGTATTTGCCTTCCTTTTGATTGTTGTGGGCCTCCCTACCCTTCACTGCCACAGGAAGTTTCTAATGTTTATCACCATTGCTTACGGTTCCATTTTCTCCACATCCTTGTCTTTCAAGAACAGACAGGAAGGGTGTCTTTTTCATCTGAGGCGCCCCAGTGCTTGCCACAGTAAATGTTTATGGAATAAATGAATGAGGAAATGCAGGAATGTCACAATGTCCTGCATTAGTACTCACACATAGTTTGTTGTTCAGAATCTCCATGACAATAATCGTCCTGGATTCAGGTTTAGCAAATAACTGACTCATAGTGTGTAAGAACAAACACAAGCCTCCGGATTTCTTATTAGTCTAGTTTTGATGACAGTTTATTCTGCTCCACAGCATCTTCTCTTTTCAGCATCGATAACATCACTTTTGGTCCCTTGTTATTCTCTTTCCCCATAAACTTTTTGTGCGGTTCTGCTCCTGAAAGAAAACTGGTGATTTTTGCTCCGTGTTTCTTTCTTTCTTTTATCTATTTAGTCTCTGTCTTGTTTCGCAAAGGATTTGCAAAAGCTGATAATTGTTCTAGTGGGAAGTTAATGGACTATCTAGGTTGGAAAAGGACAGTGCAAAAGGGTGCTGTTCACATTCCATTCTAACTTAGAATCAACATATCCCAAGATTCTGGTACAAGTTGCTATTTGTGACACCTGGAAACACAGGTTTGGCTGGATGAGAGAAATCAGCAGAAACATTGACTGTGTTGACACTCATAGTTTTCCTGGGAATTAAAAAAAAAAAATATATATATATATATATATATATATATATATATATATATGAACAGCTGGCTTCAACCTTCTGCAGTCTTCTTTGTCTCTCCTCTCACTTTGCTAACCCTAACCTTTGGTTAAGTTCTTTGTCTCTTTAGAAACATTTCTCATTTTTTTAAACATATTTTTTTCTGGTCCAGGTTACCCCCCCCTCCCCTTTCAACATGACAGAAGTAGAGACTGGGAGAATTTTTCATGCTTTCTGCGAAGCAGTTTTTGTATAGTGGAACAAAGTTTGGAATCACTCCAGTAGTTCCAAACCCATTCCCAACACCAAAGTTGCAAGATCAGGATTGTTAACTCACCTCTCTAAATTCTGATTTTCCAGATTTGAGGGTTACAGTTACTGCCCCTCAGTCCTATGGTCAGAATGAAATGAAATAAGATACTTGATTAAAAAAGGGGAAGGACTTGATGAATAGTAGCTTTCATTACTATCTCAGGAACAAAAGCAAGTTATATTTGGGAAATAATTGTGTGTTGAGTCTGTATCTTTGATTTGTGCTGCTATATGTGAGTGTGATAATACACTTAGAGTTCTATCCAGTGTAGAGATTAGAAGGGTATGGAAAAGACTGACTCCTTCTTTAAAGATTTTTACATACCTAAAAAGAACACACACAATTTAATCATCATAAAACAATATTCTATTATTATCCAGATTAGGAAACAAATAATAGCTACACCCCTGCCACCCTAAAAGACCTCCTGTCCCATCCCACAGCTTCTTTATCTCAACTTGTGGTTTTTTTTTTTTTTTATGATTTTGCCACCTGTATGTACATCACTCCCTGAACAATATTGCTCTGTCTTCTCTGCTTTTGAAGTTTATATTAATAGAATCATGCTTTATTGTCTTGCTCCTTTCCTTGGCATTGTTTTGAGACTCATTATGTCATTGTGGTTAGCTGTAATTTATTGCTTTTCACTGCTGTATGAAAACATTGCAATATAAATAAATTTTGTCTTCCTAATGCTGTTGGATGTTTGGGTAGCCTCCAGTTTTCTTTTTGCCATTATATTGTACAACACTGTTTTATATTGTGTATTCTTGTACACATCTCACTGTGTACATAATTAGGCGTTTCTCTAAGATAGAGAAGCTACTCCCAAGGGTAGTCATGGAATGCACAATTGTTCAATGTTATCAAATAGTGCCAAACTCCTTTGCAAAGAGAATTATTTACACTGCCATCAGTTACATATGACTGTGAGTTGATTCACATCTTTGCAAACACTATTGGATCTTTTTTTCCCTAATTTTTTTAAATTATAAATGAAGCTGGTTCCCATGTATGAAATCATTTGGGAACCATTTGGATTTCTTTTTGCTTAACTATCCCGTCTTTATTTCAAAATGTCCTTTCAGTTGGTCTCAATAACCTCCATTAACTGGCTGCAGGGCAATCAGCCTAGAGCTGTAGGACTGAGGCAGGCTGAATTTACTCTCAAAACATTTGCTGCCTCAGTTGGAGCACAGAACCAATAGTTTTCCCAAAGTAACCACGTTAGTCATGTATGAAGGTCAAGAAGTCCAGGATGAGTGGCCTTCCTCCTTGTATGTAGCCATAACAGAAGACAACACCTAGCCTCCTGCCCAAGGAATCCTACACAAATAGACTGTCCCTGTACACTGCATCGTGTGTAACCGCCAAATTCAAACTTCTAAGACCTGCCCTGCCGGGTTTGCTGTTTCCCTTTTTCTATTGGTCGCAAGACATAGGAAGGAACAATTTGATTGGCTCTCCCCTTCACTTCCTTCATCTCTTTAAGGACTTGGGCGGGGCCTAGCTGAGGTACCGCTGTCTGTCAAAAGACCAGGCACGCTGACTGGTCCAGGCTCCGCTGAGCCCCTCCCATGCCGCGCCCCTGGTTCAAACGCGGCGGCGCGAGGCGCTGGGCGGAGCAGAGCGCAATCTTGAGGGGTCCTCTGAGGGTGAGTCTGATCCCCCACCCACTATTTTCCCTACCCTGCCTCTGTGAGGCCAGGGGACGGGCCATCTCTACCCATACTAACCCCAGCTTTTCCTCAAGCGGCGGGAGGGCGGCGATTCCATTTCCAGGACTACGGGGGGCCAGGAGGGTCTTTCCGGGCCGGCTCTGCGCGCGCCCACCCGGTACGGGACCCGAAGGGTTCTCTGGGGATTCCTGGGACAAGAGGGCACGCTGGTCTCTTGTGAGAGTTCTGTGCACGTTCCTCTCTCTCTCCTGTCAGCATCCCCTACATTGTTCTCACGGGTAGAGTCTGTTAGCCCTTCATTATCTGTGCGATCGTAAATTTACACTAGGTTCCAGTGCCTGCATACTCCCACAGTAGCACCTTTTTCTAAGTGCGCCCCTTTCACTTTGCGCCTGTCCTTACTGCTTCCCTGCTGTAGTTGGAGAGGTCAGGTCCCACCTGAGGACCGTTGCCTTCTCCGGTGCCTCTGCCTGAGATTCGGTACCTTCCTTCCCCTAGATATCAGCAAGGCTTGCAGACCATCCCTCCGGGGCTTGGTCCAAGTGCTGCTTAATCCGTGAGATTTACTGATTACACTGTTAAAACTTGTACCACTCCTCAGCCCCGCCCAACTGCTCTTACATTGCTGATTGCTTTTTAAGACTTCTCATCTGCTAGTATACTACGTCGTCTGCGTATTCCAGTCGTTCACCCAATAACCAGAGTATTCATGGTTGCTACATGCCAGCCTATGCGTGTGCCCCACTCTGTGGGAACAAAAATTACTCGTGCAGCTCACATTCTGAGGTGAAGGCAGGTCATGAACAAAATTGTAAGAGACTATGTCGGGGAAATGTATCACTTCCTCTTACAGGGAATAAAACCTGGGGTTTCAGTTCCATGGCCAGACTGAGCTTCTAAAATGGGTTGTGGCTGATTTTCCTCTCCCTATCCCTGACATCTTGAGGGAGATCAGGCTATGTTAAACACTTTCTGCTTAGTGTTCCTACACACTTGACCTTTTCCTTTTCCATTCAGCACCCGTGGGTTGAAGTTTAAAAAGCACCTGAAGTTTAATTAGCACCATTAAGCACCTGGGATGCTGAAGTTTAAATATGGAGCGCGGAATCCCCCGGATGCTGGTGCTATTGAGCCCATTGCCAGCCGGGCCTCCAGGCTGAATCTCTTCTTCCAGGTAACAAGCTGCCTACCAAATGAGCCTTTCCTTCACACCTCCTTGTTTGCCTCTTTGTTGTGTGGTTCACCTTGGCTTTTATTATAAGACCGAGGCTAATATTTTAGGAGAAATTCTATTGGATGCTTTATGTGTTCTGATTGCATGGGAAAAAGGAGCCACTAAGTTGACATTATTTAGTGGAATTTACTCAGGAGAGAACCTATCATTTCTTGCATTCTACATGTCTGCTCTAAACTTGGGTTCTTTTATGAAAGCCAACCAAATGAACAAAGGCTATTTTTTTTTTATTTTTATTTTTTTTAAATTTATTTATATGTGTGTGGCCAGCTCAGCCCACCAGGGGGCAGGCTGGCTGGCATGTGGTGCTGGGGGATTGAACCGCGGTCCCTGTGCTTTGCTAAGCTTGTTCCAAGTAGGTGCTTTAGACCACTGAGCCATCTCACCAGCCCCCCTTTTTTTTTTTTTTTTTAAACCAGAACTTCTGTAATCTTATTTCATTCATGTGATGCTTATATTTTTATAAAAAACAATTTTGGTTAAGTACCACACCCATGTGACTTCCATCCCTCTCATCATAACATTTGTTTCCTCTCAGGAGTGTTCAAATTTAATGTCATATAGCTGGGTGTGGCGGCACAAGCCTGTAACCCCAGACTTGGGGGGCTGAGGCAAGAAGATCCTCATGAGATCAAGGCTGGCCTGGGCTACATAGCGAGACCCTGTCTCAAGAAACAAACACAGGGGCCGGGGAGATGGCTCAGTGGAATAAGCGCTTCCCTCGCAAGCACAAGGACCTGAGTTCAATCCCCGGTTCCGCCAAAAAAACAAACAAAAAAACGAGTCATGAATAATTTCCAAGTGGTGTTTTTTTTTTTTTGTTTGTTTGTTTGTTTCATTTTTTCAATTCTTCTGGGGTTTTTTGGTCTGTTTTCATTTTTTTGTTAGTACATGTATGCAAAACATAATGTTTATATTCATTTTGTGGGGAGTTGGTATGGATAGATGCTACATCTTAACTCTTGCTGCTGATGTATATGTAACACTAGTGAACTGGGAATCTTTGACTTTTGCAATATCAAGCCAGGGGACGCTAGAAGAAAGTGGTGAAAATTTAGGTTATAATCTTGGTTTGAATATTTGTTAGCTGTGTTACTTTGAGTCAGCTGCTTTCTCTGAATCCACTCTTTTTTTAAAAAAAATTTCTTTAGTATAGGGTCTACAGGGTCTCACTACATAGATCGGACTTGTAGTGATTATCCTGTTTTCAGCCTCCCAAGCACTGGAATTACAGGTGCGCAGACCACCAAGCCCAGTCTCAATCCCCTTCTTGGTGTACCCCTGGGGTGGGGCTGGCATAGCAGGCTAGGGATTGAATCCCTGGCCCATGTGCCTGCCTCAGGAGGTGCTTTAATCCGCTGAGCTATCTGGCCAGCCCTCTACTCTTTGAAATAGGTTATAGTAGTTAATTCACAGCATTACTGTGAGAGCGAAATGAAATAATCCATCTGAAGCACTTATATCTTGCCTAGCTCTTGGTAAGCTCTTTATAAATGGTCACTATTGTTAATACTAAGTGTAATT